GAAGTCCTTCCAGTCGTCCCAGTCGTGGACGAACCGGTCGCGCATCAGTTTGTCCGGCCATACGTCCCAATAGTGGCGGGAATGTAGGGCTGGGGTGTATGATAGAGGCATCGGTGCTGGAGGTGTTTGAGCTGTACTTTTGAAAACTAAATACTTTTCTCGAAGTTTTGTCACTCAATGTGTAAAAACTTTTTTTCTGTGGACTCAACGGTGTTATGCGAGTGTTATGTGGGTTTAAGACATAGGGAACCGGTATTTATAACTTCTCGATGGCATAGCCTTCAAACAAAACGCTGGATGTATGGCTTGAATGGTATTCCTTATATAGTAGTGACGACTACGCAAAACAAATCAATTATATTATACATGATTTCCAGTGATTCACGAGAATATTCGAGATATTCTTCTAGAATAAAGAAAAAGACTTTTTGTGAGATAAATATTTTGCCACAAGAGTTGGCACCAGAAGCATGAGTTGAATATTAATCGCTATTTGTTTTGAAAACCCGTTTTTTTGTTATTAACTTATATAAGACTTATTAGTAATAAGTTATTACTGAATGTATAAATGATTGCTATATTTCTCGCCAACACTTTCGACTTATGGTTACTTAAAGTGACTTAAAATGGTTTTTATTACAACAAAGTATTTCATATATAATTATAGGCATCACATAATAGATAGACATCTAATATCCAGTAAATCCAAGTGTGAGGCCCTGTCTGTCAGTGTCTTAATCGACGTCTCGTTAATTGAAATTCTGTTGAAAAACGAATAAATCCTAACGTTTTGCAAGTTTTGGCACTTATTGAGCAGCAATTGTAACGCTTTCTCATTGCTATCCATATTTATTCTGCAAAGAAAATGAAACACAAAAAAAATTAATTATTAACTATTTAATATGCAAAATATTTTCGCAAAGTATTTAAAAACAAATAAATAATCATAATTTTTTTGAATACATTTTTGTCGACTCGTACGTCGAGATGTCAAACAGACAAACACTTATGAGACTCATATGATTGCAATGTTTGCCAATCGTATCAATCATTGCGCGAAACTCTGTTTCCAAGCATTTAGTGGTCCAACAAATTGTCGATACGTTGCGGAAAATTTGCAAAACATTTTCCGTAATAAATCTCTCATTGTCTGCGATTATGACAAATTGTTTGCTGTGTTTGGCGCTCAGACGGCTTTCCATCAGACACTGTCTCAATGGGAAGTAGCGCTCGTCGCTGATCATTAGCACCGGTTGTCTCTCGAGTGACAATTGGATTATTTGTTCCCACTTTTTGCAGACTAACTGTAGTTTTATCCTCTCGTTTACATTCAGTTTACTCACAATCAGTAATAACACGGAATCGGGAATTCTGTCATTGAATCGATTGCGAGGTCTTAACAGCGATAACACTCTCAACTGTTTTGTCAATTCTTTCAGGAATTTCATGATTATTATTAATATTTTTAAGTCACAAAATAAGAAATATTATTTTTATATACCGTAAATATCTCAATAAAAATGTAATACAATATTATTAATATAAACTAATTGACTGTCAACTTCGAAATGATGTATTATGATATCTATGCCTATTTTGCACTTATTTCCATATCATATACAGTGTATTTTGCTTTATTTGTAGAGTAATTAATAAATATAGTGATAGGAAGCGAGATATCAGAGATTTTTGTTGTGACTAACGATTAGTAATTGTAGTGGAGTTTGACTCTAATTGCAATCATTTATATGGAAATACACTCTCTATTTGTTTATATAATTATGTGTCAAATGGAAACTAAAAATTGCATTAACATAATGAAACATTAAATCATTTATACATTTAAATGCATTTTAAATAAATAACTCCATAAGAGATGCGTTCATAACATAGGCAATAAACTCTGGCTATTGAGCTCAAGATCCTTTTTAGCAATTAATTTGTTTGTATTTTTGTGGAACAATCACTCAATACATGGGATGTGAGGCATAAATAGAGTCTATATTTGAGATGTAGTGATAGATTGGGAGCAAAACCTATATATTCTTTGGCACTAAACATATCTATCGACTAATCTATGAATTCTGTGCCCAAACTGTTAAACTCAACGTCTATTACGATATGTCACACACACTATGCGCTCAATTTGATGGCAAATCTCATCAATAGTTTTCGTATCCGAGAAAAAATTACTTTTTTATTATTCAGTCATTGAATTCTCGGACACTAATAGCCTCTGGGATTAGGAATAATATGACACATAATATAAGCCTTAGATTTCGTTTCCATTCACTCATTGAAAAGTAGATTACTTTGAATCGTAAGGTCTGTTGGGTTTATACAGAATTTCTAGTAATCTTTTGTTAGATTCAGTTCAAGTGTATGTCCTTTTGAATTGATATTTGAGATACTAGTGCTGCAAATGAAGTATACAGTACTATACC